TTTCCCTTTCTAGAAGCCGTGCTGGTTTTCGGAGATTATTTCATACTGCTCCAAATGTGTCGTGAGTCTCTTTTTCAAAACTTTCTCGAACAATCTGGCGAATATTGAGGTTATACTGACCGGTCTGAAGTTATACGGACAGGTATGAGGCGGCTTCTTAGGGATTGGGGTTACGAATGAAACGCGCCACCTCGTTGGCACTTCAGCTCTCATAAAATAAGAGGAAGGCCAACGGTCCATATACTATGTGCGCTACCTTTTTAATGAATACCAGAGGGACATGATCAGGTGTATCCGAACGGGATCTGGGCCATCGAATCAGTAACTTATATATTTCTTCCTTGTCGAACCAAAGGAATCCTCCATCACCGGAAACGATGGTACGGCATCTAACTCTGAAGAATCATCCCCTTTCTGGAAGGACTTCGCAAAGACATCAGCCAGAAGCTCAGCTTTGTCCCGATCTTTGCATACTGCAATCCCATCCTCCTTGAGAAGAACGCCTAAACCTCTGCTTTTCCTCAGCCTGGAATTGAGTAGTCTATAAAAAGCGTTCTTATTCTTGGAAAAGATAACCTTTCTTTCAACATGATTATAGAACTTGCTCAACCTTTTCTCAAAAGTAGTTCTCAATTTGTTGTATTCGTCCCAATCTGCTTGGTTATCACTCGACACAGCCTTAGCCCAAGCTGAATTCTTTTTGCGGTTACATCTGATCAAGTGAAGTGGAAGCTGTACTCCAGTAGTCTTTTGAGGCTTGAGTGGAACAAACAATTCGATGGTATGATGAATTACAGATAAAAACTCACATTTTTCATTTAGTATATCAACGCTTTGAAATGATCCATACCAGTCTATAGTACAAAAATTTCGTTGATTGAATCGAATTTTGCATCACCGAAGTCACGTATGGACATTATTTCGCTATTTTGTTCCGCCTCAAGGTTGATGCTAAAAGCGACAGATGCATGATCACTATTACCAATTGGTGTTTGGATCATTGTATTACTTATGAGCTGTGAATTGTTAGTCAGTATCAGATCTAAAATATTAGGTCCATGAGTAGGCTTCGAAACGAGCTGATGGAAATTCAGACCTGTACACAATTCTATGAAGCGTGAAGCACGTGCGCTATTCGCCTGGGGCCTACCACCCTCACACCACAATAGTTCAGGAAGATTGAAATCACCAAGTAAGACGACAGAGTGATTGATGCCTGCTAAATCGCCAATCGCTTTGAGCAGTTGTTCAAACATCGCAGCAGAACATGACGGTGTTCTATAAACAAGGACCAACCTAACGCTAGATGACGCTATGTCAAGGTCGACGCACATAATTTCATATGCATCTGCAAACGATTCCATGAATACTACCCTAGGGAAAAAGATCTTCTTGGCAATGATAGCGATGCCGCCACCACGCCTTTCATGCCTGTCACATCTGAGGACTTCATAATGGGCGCACAGCTCCCCAAATAATGACTCGGTACTGATGACGTCAGACAACCAGGTCTCTGTTAAGGCTACAATTCCAATGTTAGCATGCCGAATTCGAAAGAGTAACTCATCAACATTCTTTGAAACTGAGCGAATGTTAGCTAACAGCACCTTAGACAAGCATCTGACAATGGTGTGGGTGGGCGAAC